TCAAACGACTAGCCGGTAGTGAAGCTCAATGCCTTGCATTTTACCTCAAGCTCCAGCTGCTTCTGCACCTCCGCCATGGCTGCTGCCTGTGAATGAGATTGACAAAACCAAAGTTTGTCAACTCACACCCAAAGGCCTTCTCTCCGTCCGTGACAAACAACATCGAAGAACTTCAATAAACCGCCGTCAAACGACTAGCCGGTCATGAAGCCTCGACTGCAGCTCACCGTCCGTCGAGTTCCATCCCTACAAAGCACCATATATATAAAGAAAAAAAAAAAAAAAAGTTTTCAAATGGTGACCAGCCACCGAAAGCAAAGAAAAGAAGTGATTGACAGGCACCATCCAAAAGGAAATGATAAAAAAAAGAAAAAAACAAGAAAGGCAGGTCATGGTGTACGTTACTATTCGCAAGTATGAAAAAGGAAATAGGTGGTGGAGACAGAATAATTGAAAGGAAGAAAGCAGGGGGAAGACGACGAATTTCATTCTAAAAAATAGGGAGTAAAAGAATAGTGCACATCAGGTACCATCTAAATAAAAAAAAAAAAAAAAAAAAAAGAGAAGGAGTAACGTATCTTAGTCAGATATATGTTTTAGCACAACATACTGAATAAAATAAAGCATGTCCATTGATATCTCAAAAAAAAAAAAAAAAAAAATTACAAGTGCGTAAAAAAAAAAAAAAAAAAAGTCAAATCAAATTTACAGGAAGGGATCTTCAAGGATGATCAGGTGGCGCCTCCTCACTCGGCGGAGCTCCAGAAAGACGAAGCACCAGAGATTGATTATCCGGAGCTTCAACACTTGGTGAAGCGCCAGAGGACGAAGGCAGAAGTTGCTGCTGGAGTAACGTCACAAACCTCTGATGATCACTCTGAATCCGAACTTCGGACTCCTGCAGTTGGTCAAGCTTCCTCTTCATGCTTGTTGAGTAATTAGTTGCGAGCATGTGCAACTCTTTATTCTCGTGCCTAAGCACCCTGACCTCTTGCCGAAGATTGGCCACCTCAGCCATCAACGACTCAACCTGACGAGATCGAGCAAGCAAGAAGGCGTTGGCCCATGTTTGAAACTGAACCTGCACATCGGACGCTGTAGGCCAGAGAGTCCTGAACAGCCAGCTCGTCGGACCGCCTGGAAAGCATCCTAGTGTCTCTAGGAGTGAGAAGATTTCTGGCCACCACCGAAACGGTTGTATCGTTCATCATCATAGAATCCCCAACTGTAAGAGGACCATTGGGAGATACGAAGGACGGCTGCCAAATGTTGTTTGAAGAAGATATGTCATTATCTTCCCCGACATTCAAGTTAAGACGACGGTCAGAAGGGCAAGACATTTTCAAAGGTGTGAAAAAAAAAAAAAAAAAAAAAAGGTCGGACAAATCAAGTTCTTAGAAGTGCGAGTAGGGAGCTTCTACAGGCGGAAAATTCAAGTGTGCTTTGGAATGTGATGCGTGCCTCTCTTTTAAAATCAGCACTTTCAAAAATCGAAGAGGCGAGTTCAGAAATCGAAGAGGCAAGCTCAGAGATCGAAGAGACATATGCTTTCTCAAAAGCTGGGCTGCTCAGAAACCACGGGCCGATCTCAGATATCGAAGAGGCGCCAGTCTTTTTCAGTCTCGTCAGCACCTATCACATGCACACTCAGCTTTGCGAAAATCACGGATAATTTGTCGAAGCACCAATCTCAGATATCGAAGAGGCGCCAGTCTTTTTCAAGCCTCGTCAGCACCTGTCATATGCACACTTAGCTTTGCGGAAATTACGGGCAATTTGTCGAAGATTTCTGATGAAGAAGAAAGCGCGTAGAGCCATACTGATCAATCACTCAATGGTTGCCAACACGAGTGAAAGAATAGTACCTCTACAGGTATTAAAGAACTTCCTATAACTGTCCACCTTCACCGTCCATAGCAAGGCAGACCTGCAAAAATGCCTAACCCTTCCTCATTTTCGAGAGTACACTCTCAGCAGAGCCTCTCGAAATACCCAGTTTTCTTCATCTTCTGGAGTACCTCTGCAAACAAATGACACCCAAAGCAAAAGTATCTCATATCACCAGGGTAAAAAGCAAGAGTATCTCATATCATGCTTTCTCCCTGTCCTTTCCTTTGTCCTTGTTCTTACCTGCAGAGACAAGGATAAAGAAAGCAATATGTCGGAACCTCCACTCAAACTCCGGGCAAGGAACCGACTACCGGGAACCTTTGCCCGGTTGCTTACCTGGCTTTGCTCTTGAGTACTCGTCTTCAGTTGCTGACGTACTTCCGAAGAAGATGCCATATTTTCCCGGAGAACAGATAAGGCAAGTGAAAATGATACCTTGAAGCATGTGGAGACAACGTGCTGATTTCCTTCAAGATCAAATCTCCCCTTCCTTGCACAATCAACCAACCCAGCAGAAGGAGTCTGAGTTGAATCCAAGAGCTCGAGAAGTTTCAACAAACATATTGGCGGCACCATCGTCGAAGAACAAAGCCTCGCTGTGCAACGCTGTCAAATCGCCACCACTTCTTCGAAAGCAAGAGTATTTCATATCATGCTTTCTCCCTATCCTTTTCTTTGTCCTTGTTTTTTACCTGTGGGACAAGGAGAAAGAAAGCAATCAGACAGCACTTGGTATCAAACTTCCGATCTGGAATCAACTGCTTGGAACCCTTCCCTGATTGCTTACCTAGCACTACCCTCGAAATACCCATTGTTTCAACATCTTATGCTTCTAGAGAAAATACCACATCTGCCTGAAGAACAGATAAGGCAAGGGAAAATGATACCTTGAAGCATGTAGAGACAAGCACAACAAAACACGAGTCGATTCATCTGTTACTTCTTCAAAATCAAAAGTATCTCATATCATTAGGGTTTCAATCACTCTGGGTTTGGTGGACCTGTTTTGACCCTCAAATTCTTGGGTCGACCCGCTAGACGTTGTGAACTACACGTGCCGATTTACCACCCTTGAATCAAATCCTTAAAGATCAAGTCACCAACTGGAAGAAAAGCCCATCAATCTTGAAGATCATACCGTTGACCAAACTGCTCAGGTGTGAATTAGAAAGATTGAACAAAGCAACAAGTCGTCACTTTCACCTCGTGCTTGCTTGCTTGCAATATGTTCGAGTCAACCTTCAAGAATCAAGCCTCAACGGCCCTTGAAGAAGTTTCCAGCCAAATTCAAGATCAAGCCTCGACGGCCCTTGAGGAAATCACAAGTCCGATTCAAGATTAAGTGTCTACCACCCTTAAATCAAAACCTAGTTCAAGAATAGCCTGTGGAAAGTCAACAATTGGAGGAAACCAAAAAGTCCTCCGAACCAGTTCAAGATCAAAGCTGTGGAAAGTCAACAATTGGGGGAAACCAGAAAATCCTCCGAACCAGTTCAAGATCAAAGCTGTGGAAAGTCAATAAGCGTAACAAAATACGTGCCGATTCACCCACTACCAAAGCAAAAGATCATCTACCACATGAAGCTCCTTGTGGTCCAATTTCAACCTTCAAGATCAAGCCTCAACGGCCTTTGAAAAGAAATTTCAAACAAAGTTCAAGATCAAGCCCCAACGGCCCTTGAAGAAATCACCAACCCAGTTCAAGATCAAGCCTCAACGGCCCTTGGATCAACATCTGCAATAAGGGACTTCAAAACGCATCTTCTACACGTGACAAGCACATGTATACGACGCGCCTTGAAGTGGGGGCATTTGTAGACATCGAAATTTCGGTAAAATAAATGTTGATCAATAATTAAAATTTCAATGTTTATGTGTCACATAAATTTTACACATAGCATGTGACTAAACGAAAAATCAAAATAAATCAGAAAAGTCATCAAACAGGACACGTGTCAACACCTGGCAGAAATGATTTATTTCATCTAATTATTTAAATCCAAAAAATCAAGTTTTGGAATTCTATAAATAGGAGGCCAAGGCATTCATTTTGGGACACCAATTCATAACCAATTCACCTCACACCAAAACCTTGAAGCTTTGAAACTCCAAAGCTCCTAAGCAAATCCCGAAGAATCAAGAAAGCCCTCTTCGTTCTTCGTCAACTCAACCTTCAAGATCAAGCCCCAACGACCCTTGAAAAACTTCCATCAATTCAAGATCAAGCCCCGACGGCCCTTGAAGAAAGTGTCCATCGTTCATCACTCGTTCATCCCTAGATTAAGCCCCGACGGCCCTTTGGATCCACGACGTCAACAAATTTGCACAACTGTTCATTCCAAGATCAAGCCCCGACGGCCCTTTGGACCAACAACATCAAATCCATCCATTGCAAAGATAGAATCAGAGGCTAAATTTGTAGAAGAGATTGTAACCCCTAAATCATCAATACAAATATTATTTTGTACACGTGTTCTTGTCTCGTTCATCGCAGGAAATTTCCGTGTTTACAGTCATTTGTACTAAATCATTCACTACTACTCACTAAATGAGAGCTTGAACCTATGTACTTGTGTAAACCCTTCACAATTAATGAGAACTCCTCTACTCCGTGGACATAGCCAATCTGGGTGAACCACGTACATCTTGTGTTTGCTTCCCTATCCCTATTTATTTACATACTTATCCACACTAGTGATCGGAGCAATATAGCGAAGGTCACAAACTTAACATTTTCTGTTGTAATAAAGTCCTCACTGATTTTGTGCATCAACATTTGACGCCGTCTGTGGGAAACGACCCGAAAAACTATGTCGATTCTCTTTCATTTTTTTCACCTCCGCCGTGAATCTGCAAAATCTGCAAAAACCCCAAGAAACCAAATATTTTATCTCTCACTTTGCTATCCTCTTACAAAAAAAAAAAAAAAAAAAAAAAAAAAATCACAAAAACCAAGAACACCACTCTCTCTCTAAAAATCCTAAGATTCTCTCTCTAAGCTGCTACATTTATAGCTGCTTTATTCACCCCTTTTCTTCTTGCTGGGTCTCTGTAGTTTCCACTGCAGAGTAAAACCCAGATTTTAGTTTTCAGATCCAAGCTTTGGAACAATGGTGGTCGAGCTTCAGTAGTCGATGAACTTCTCCATTTTCTCGGCAAACAAACAGAAAAGTCCTCTGCTTTTTGTTTCCTTATGTCTCTGGATCTGAAACTCTTTGTTTGGATCTGAAATTCCCTTTCCCTCTCTCCTTAATCTCTCTCTCTGAAAGTGAAATTCAGTCCCTCATTGGCCAATGGAGTGAACAACTCCGCCTACTCGCCCCAACTGCAATTCAAGGCTCTGGAGCTCTGCCTCAGCATCTCGTTCGACAGGGTCTCCTCGACCCAGCTCGTCGACGACCCGCCCGTTTCGAACTCGTTCTTGGCCGCCATCAAACGGTCCCAAGCCAACCAGCGCAGGCAGCCCGAAAATTACCACATATACCACCAGCTCTCGCAGCAGTCATCGCTCTCTGCCATTAAAGTAGAGCTCCAGCACCTGATTCTGTCGATTCTCGACGACCCTGTCGTCAGTCGGGTTTTCGCTGAAGCGAGGTTTCAGAGCTCAGAAATAAAGCTTGCAATTTTACTCCATTTTCCTCATCTTCTCATATACCCGCGCTCCAGAGGCCACCATCATTTGTTTCTCTGCAACTTAGCCGAGTACCCGGACCCCGGTCGCCCGACCTGAACTGTTTTAACTGACAGGGATGAGAATTCGAGGAGAATAGGAGAAATTCTCGGAAGAAACAGAGGGCGGAATCTTCTGCTTGTGGGCATATTCGCTCACGACGCACTCAAGAGCTTCGTGGAGGCTCTGGAGAAAAGAGACGACGGCGTTTTGCCGGCAGACCTGTCTGGGTTGTCTGTAATTTCAGCTGAAAATGATGTCTCAAACTTTATCACCGCGGATAGCGATGAAGAATCGGTGAATTTGAGATTCGAATAGATGGGTCGGGTCGCAGTAGAGTTTGGGGCCTGGGATTGTTCTGAACATTGTGGGACTACTGAAGCTGTTTACCATCCCACTACAAGGTCCCAGCAGCAACCAAGCCGAAAGAAAAAGCAGAAAACAGAATAATAAAAGCAAAAAGCAAAAGCAGAAGAGAGAGGTGCGGTGGAAAAGAGAACAACAAAAGCAAAAAAGAGAGGTGCAAGCTATCACCAATGAGTTCTATTCGTCGGTTCAAGCGAGGCAAGCTTCAAAGTTGCAGAGAAAACACAACAGCAAAAGAGAGAGGTGTGGTGGAAAAGAGAAAAGTAAAAGCAAAAGCAGAAAGCAAAAGAGGATAAAAAGAAGCAGACATAATTGCGGTGGTGATGGCATGCAGAAAAGGGAATTATGGGCGTGACCCATTGAGCTGAGGGTTGGATTTATTTTTGAATGATGTAATTTATTTTTCTTATCTTTCGGAGACATCTGTATAAACCCTATCAAAGAGTAATAATAATAAAAAAAACAAAAAAAATATAAAAAAAAATGACAAGCCCAAAATAATGGGCTAGAATGTTATATGGAGGGCGAAAGCCCATATGCCCAAAAGAGCCAGGCTCTATGGCTCCAAAATTATTCGGCACTCTACCGTTATTATCACCAACCAGGTGATCAAAAGTACGCCCAGTACTACAAAAAATTATTCGGCACTCTATCACTATTATCACCAACCAGGTAATCAAAAGTACGCCCAGTACTTGATAGGAGCATATTTATGCGACTGAGTTAGCTTGTTCTCATGAATTTATGTTATTATTTCTTAGTTAATTATGTATTTTAAGCTATTTTTGTGTGTTTATAGGTCCATAGGCCTTATAAAGCAATAAGATGCATTTTGGAGCAGTTTTGGGCTTGGAATGAATAGCACATGCATGGAGCAAGGTGGATGGACGAAATTGAAGACTAAAGAGGCTAGGAATGTGTTAAAGAGAAAGAAGAATTAATGTAAAAAGAACAAAGAGCTCAGCCATAAAGGGGTGTCACTCCACCATTCACCTTTCCATCATTGCCGTGCACCACCATTGCACTCCCTTTGGATTCCTATGCCGTGCATCATCATCCATGTTCCCTCTATTGACTTATTTGTTGCATCATTCCACCTCCCTTTCCTTTCTCTACCATGTGCACAATCATTCATGTTCCCTAGCTGCAACACCACTCTATTTTACCCCCATGCTTTGCATCATCACTTCACTTTCACCTTTGAATCATTTCAAACACCACTCATTGCACTCAATTGCTACACCATTCCTTGTTCCCTCCATCATTTCAGATTCATGCATCATTACATTGAATCATTGCACTCAATTGCTACACCATTCCTTGTTCCCTCCATCATTTCAGATTTCATGCATCATTGCACTCAATTGCTACACCACTCCATATTCCCCTCCATTGCCATGCACTTCCTCTATAAAAGGAAGTGTGTGTAACATAAATTTAGTTCATACTTGGTTAGATCATTCACTCCCATTTCAACACAACCTTTATCCAAACACATCCATTCATCTTCACATCCATTCCTCCATACAAACAAACCTTCAAACACTCACCAACACCTTGTGTCGTAGCAAAGGAAGGGAAGGAAAGTGCTTGGACGTGCTTGCTGTCCAACTTGGATCGTCGGAGCGTTTAGGTGTTTTCTTTCTTTTGTTTCTAATGTTTAAATTCATTTCCTTTCGTTTTGTTGTAAATATGAGTGGCTAAACTCCTCTTGGCTAGGGGTGATTTCAAAGCCATGACTATGTGTGCAATATAATTTGATAAATTCCAGTTATAAACTCTTGAATCGTGAATGCAATTGGCTTAACTATTTGATTGATAACTTATTTGTATTTGTTAATTAAGGGTCGACGCTTAATTGGCATGCATAAATCCGTTGCTAGAATATAAGGAAGTTTCACATAATCGTTACAAACTTTTATTCACATGTAGTGAAGGTCGCTTATAAACGATCGCGTTAAGTTCAATTCCTAGCATGAGTGACATGATGTCATAGTTGCAAGTGCTTTGTCAATGCTTATGGTTTTTATTAAACGTAATGATCTTTGATTGTATCTCTATTATGATTTCATGTAGGGAACTTTAGAAGAATGTTTTGGGTTGTCGAATAATGTCATCCAATCCAATAAAACAAGGAAAATCTGAAAGTTAACTAGTGATGTCACGGTTAATTTGGAGCATTGTCGTTCATAATTCAATGAAGTAGTAACTGGAAATCAAGTTATTTGCATACATGTCATGTGTGGAGAAAAAGCCTCTAGCTATCCCATCTATCATCTTATTTCTCAAAATTGTTTAACAATCTGTCTAGTTTTTCATACTTGTTTGTTTGTTTCAACTTCATCCAAATCAAAACCCCCCTTTTAGTTTCTTGTTTTAAAGTGTTTCAAATCTGTTTTAGTTTGTGTTTTTAAGTGTTTTGATTCAAGTAAAAGTCAATTTTCGTCCAAAGTCATTCCTAGTGTCTAGTTTAAGTTTATTTGGTTGTTTTAAGTTGTTTTGAGTATTTTAAGTTTGCTTTGAGTCTTGTGAGTCTTGTTAAGTGTTTTTAAGTTTAGTTTTATGTTTTTGAGTCAGTTTAGAGGTTATTAGCAAGCCCTCATAATCCCCGGTCCAGAACGTTCCCTACTTATACTTGTACTACAATTGTCAAAAGAGGGTTAAATTTGTGTGTTAAGATAATTTTCGCATCAGTACTCCAAAATTATTCGGTAGCCTGCCGCTATTATCACCAACTAGGTGATCAAAAGTACATCCAGTATTACCAAAATTATTTGGCAACCTGCCGCTATTATCACCAACCAGGTGATCAAAAGTACGCCAGTACTCCAAAATTATTCGGCAGTTTGCCGCTATTATCACCAACCAAGTGATCAAAAGTACGCCCAATACTCCAAAACTATTCGGCATCCTGCCGCTATTATCACCCACTAGGTGATCAAAAGTACGTCCAGTACTCCAAAATTATACATGAGCATCACTCATGTCATTCATACATAAACATTAATGAGCATCACTCATGATAATCATACATAAACATTCATGACCATCATTCATGTCAACATTCATGAGCATCATTCATGCCAACATCCATCAGTATTACTCATGTCAATCAACATAAACATTCATGAGCATCACTTATGTTAATTAGCTTTGAAAGCTTCATTTACAGAGCTCCAGCTTCGAGAGCTGCAGCTTTAAAAGCTTCATTTATAAAAGCTCCAGCTACAAAACTTCACTTTCAAAGCTTCACCTACAAAGCTTCAGTACAGGGTATACAAATACCGCCTCCGAACAACCGCCATTTTGGCCTATACATGGATTGAATTTAAAGTCGCCAACCAACAACCTCTATTGACTAAAAACTTAGGGGACTACACTATGTACCATATATTGGGCTTCCACAACTGGGCCACATGAAAAATGTTTGGGGGACTCTAGCCCATCCTTTATGTATTAAGGAGCGATCATTTATTATATAAAAGGGACCTCACTTTCATTAGAGAACACCCATTATTCATGTACTGAAGAGCGAGCCCTTAGTCTATAAAAAGGACTCCCTCACCATCATTAGAGAACATGGTCGTCTGCTGAGCAATTGCCTCGCTGCAAGCATCAACTCTAGCTTATGACTTATGTATTGAGGAGCGAGCGCTTATTTTATAAAAGGGACTCCCTCACCATCATTAGAGAGCATCGCTGCCCGCTGAGCAACCGCCTCGCCGCGAGCATCAACTCTAGCCCATCATTTATGTATTGAGGAGCGAGCCCTTATTCTATAAAAGGAACTCCTTCACCTTCAACGCCACAAGCTGAGCAAACCAAGGCAACATAAGCCACAAGTAGAGCAGCCTCGCAACATGTGCTACTTCTAGTTGAGCATCATTTCAGATTGGGCACCGCCTCATATCAAGTATTTAGTTCTAGACGACATCTACTTACTTCGGCCCACACATGGACTGAATTGCAAGTCTCTAGCCAAAAGACTCTCTTGACTGAAGACTTGGGGGACTACTGTTTATACCATACTTAGGGCCTCCGTATTTAGACCTCGTATAAATATTCGGGGGACTCAAGTGTAATTTGTAATAAATAAAGGGGCAAATATGTAATAAGTGAGGAGCCCTTATTCTATAAAAGGAACTCCTTACCCTCACAATGAGAGAAGCCTCACATCCCCTAAATAGAGGCTCTCTCAAACTCTCTCTCTTTCTCTGAGAGCTCTCACCCTCACAATCTTCTCACAAATAGAGAAATACAATATCAGTGTGGACGTAGCCTAAACATTGGAGTGAACACATCTTGTGTTCTTTACTTTCTTGCAGATTCACGGTCGGATTTACGTTGTTCCAAGACCCCTTCGGTTTTGTGCATCAACAATATCTCTTCCAGAATAGTCATAATTTAGAGAATGTGGATCATAACCTCCTCTGGAGTGTTATAGAGCTTGGATTTTAATCTCCACTTTTAGGAGTTGAATCATTGGGAATCTATACGTCTATCATGCTTCATGCATGAGACATCAACATTCCCATGTCCGCGGATTGTCCTTTCTGGGACGTGTATCCATGTGGCGACTGTCATGCTTCTGACATGCAACAATTATGCTTCGGGAATGCAATAATTCAGTAGTGCCATATTCTTTTTTTTTTTGAATGCTTGAACATTTTGAGTCTGAGAGTTTGCCACGCTTCAGGTGTGCAACAGATAACTCATTTACTGCCTCATTATTTTGTCTAACAGGGACATCAACAAGTATATGTGATGTTATCACTTTCGTTGCATCATTAAATGCATTTGGCATTTGACTTGCATATCGTTGCATCATTTAATCATTCTCACTTCGTTTTTATATTGATTGATTCATAAATCAAAATAAGACAAATTCTCTTCGTTTTTCTGGAACTGTCTTTTCTCATCATTATTCTAGAATGATATTTTCTCCCCCCAAC